CCTGCTGCCAGCTCATCAAAACAATTTCTTGTGTATGTTCTGACTCCTGCTTAAACTGGGCTTTCTTTGTCTAAGCTTGTCCTCATAGCTTTGGTTTCTGTGCCTGAGCTGGCCCAGTATATATTGAAATACAGCAGTCCACAATATGTGGTTTGGTGCTGCAGTCTCACATCCCCACATCCTTTCCAGCTCCAGAAAGTGAGCCGCCTGACATCATAATGATGCCTTTTACTGGACCTTTCTACTGCTGTGACTCGAGAAACACTGCTCTCTCCACTGGCAATTTGGAGAGAGTCTTGCCTCCTCAGCTTAAAAATGAGACACCAGAAGGGTTCACTCTGATTTCTAGTCCTCTGGGCCACTTCATCTGTAACCATGTGCCCTGCCTTGTTGTTGCCAGTCTTTGCCTAAATCACCACCTTGGCTGACTGAGTGCATCTGGTTTGGCTTTAGATGGGCTTTCATTTCCACTACTGAACAACTGCTCGACTTCCAGAGAGGTTTCTTAGCCCAGTTTTGCCTACAGGCTGTGCCCCTGAACTTGGTCATCCTTTGGACTAGCCCTCAATTCTGCTTTGCCCTCAGGAGACTCTTCCACATCAACTAACTTTTCCAGTTTCCTCTTGCCCTTTGCAGTCAGCTTCCTACCCATGCACTGGGTTTTTTGATGCCCTCAACTGTTTTATTTTCTGTTTCAACTCAGTTTTAGAGTTGAAGCTTTTAATATGGCCTTTTTGAACACAAACCTGTAACAGTCCCTGTTCAGCCGCCAGTTTGTAACAGCAGTCTGCCGAGGAAGAAGCGGCTAGCAGGTAGGGGTGGGCGATATAAACGATATACGATAGAAACAATATAAATTTGGCCAACGATAGAGAGTTTGACTATACCGCTCTACCGCGATAGCGCATGTTGATGATGTCATCAAGCTGCGCCTGTTTTGGTCGAAAGCATCGCAGCGGCTACAACCATTATCATCTGCAAATTATGCCGGGCGACAGTCATAGCAAAGAGATGAAGCACTTTTGAAATATGGGGAAAGACAAAAACTGCGCTTCCTCCACTTTCGTAATATTGGTTCATTAATGTTGAATTCTCTCGCAGCTGTTCTATTCCCATGTTGTTGCAGTATATTAATAACTAACCTCGTATTGTGGATGAATAATCTCAGTTGTTCTCCTGACTGAAGTTTG